TACACGGAAGTTTGCTTGGAATGGCACCCTGCAGCAAGCCCTTCCGCCCCTGGCTGCCAAGTCGAGTACCGAAGTGGAGGTCGAAGCTATGGCCCTTTGTCGAGGAGAATTCGAGATCGCAGCATCGGTCGAGGAATACCAGATCTGGGAAGAGCCCAAGGACGAGAAGGAGAAGGAAGAGACGAAGGAAGGGGCGCGACAACGATCGGATACCCAGACGATGATGAACGCCCTCCTCGGCGCAAAGGAGCGGCGCATCTGGCATTCGAGGCAACCCTGCGTCGTCAAAGTGATAGACCACGACTAGCAGCGTAAGCTACATCGTGTATGACGAACTGTATGATGGACGTGGGCGCTAGACTCATAGCAGATTTGGAATTGGCAATCGTAGCGGCCTCTTTACGTAGCTAATAAAGTGCCCTTGAGCACGACTGTGGTCGTAGGGGTTGAGCCTCCAGGGATGACTGATCGACCCGGCGATCGAATTAAGCTTATCCCTGGCAAACGGCCCTGCGGCGTTGAATCATGCGCCGGGCCCTGACCGCCTTCTCATTTCTGCCTTCGTTGCCACCAAAATTTCTTTGTAAAGGTCCAAGTTCCGGCGCTAGCCGACGGCGGGTCTTTTTTCTCTAACCCCTCCAAGGACTCATCTTATTTACACGGGTATCAAAAGTCGTTCGCTTTGAGAGAGGGCGAGCGTTGCATCGAGACCTTGTCGTTCGGTCCGGGAATCGGAGATTTTTATCCCCAAGGATGACGCGACCTCAGATCCTGTTTCTCGATGCCTACGACTCTTTTACGAACAACATCGTCTCCCTCTTGACAGATTTGTTGGAGGCGGATGTGCACGTTTTGCCGATTGACACCCCGCTGCTGGACCACGACTCGCCAACGTTTGAAGATGATTTCCACCGGGAACTTTCACGCTATCATGCGGTAGTCTGCGGGCCTGGGCCGGGCTCTCCGGAAAATGAGAAGGACGTCGGGCTCATGAGATGCGTTTGGAGGCTGCGGGAGGAGCATCTCTTGCCGGTGTTGGGAATTTGTCTTGGGTTTCAGAGCTTGGTCCTGAGCGCTGGTGGGAAGGTGAGAAGACTGCGCCGGGGGTTGCATGGCATGGTTCGCGCCATTGCGCGTGAGATGCCACACTCATCGTGCTGGGAGGACATTTTCAAGGGTGTGCCCGAGTTTAAGGCGACGCTTTATCACAGCCTTTGCGCCGACATCGGACAGGACTCGGTTTCCGACGTGGACTGGAAGCACAAGCGATGGGAGTCTCGTGATGTACCTGATCTGATGCCCTTGTCTTGGGCCGTCGAGGAGCGAGAGGACGGGAATGAGAGGATTCTCATGGGAGTCAAGCATCGGATAAAGCCTTTCTGGGGTCTGCAGTACCACCCGGAATCCGTCTGCACCCAGCAAACAGGTCATGCTGTTCTTCAGAACTGGTTTGTGCATGCCATGCAATGGAGCAAGAAGACGGGAAGAAGGATCAAGACTGACGGAAAGTTTCTGGCGAGGAACTCTCTGAAGCCGAGTCTGCTTTCAGAGATTCGGTCTGCAGCTCAGGGAGGACATGCGCCCGTTCTGGCGTGGACGGAGATGCCTACGTCTCTGGCGACTGTTGGACTCGACTGCGAGTACGTCTTCAAGACGATGAATCTTCCAGCGGGTATCAAGGTGCCGGACATTGTGGAGATACTCAAAAGTGGCAGGGCGGAGCATATCATCCTGGATTCAGCCAACTCAAGTACGACGGCAACAGGGGCCAAGGACGTACGGGGCAGATACAGCATCATTGCTCTGGACGTGGAGGAGGCACTGCGGATTGAATACCATGTCGGGGACGACTTTGCCACAGCTCGCGTGCCTTCGAGCCAGGGGCTCCCTATCGATCTGATGGAGACCATTCCGTTTGGCCCTAAGGAGAACATTTGGCACTTGTTGTCCAGTTTCTTTGAGAAGAGACGCATTCCTGCACCCCGCGCACCCCAGAGGCCTTCCGACCCCCCACTGGATGTCGAGACTCCTTTCAGGGGTGGATTCATGGGCTATCTTACCTACGAAATGGGGCTGAAGGGCATCGACGTACCCGTGGCCGCTGACCGAGGGCACCAGAGACCTGACCTCTGCTGGGCTTGGGTGACGAAGAGCATCGTCGTGGATCACGTCAAGGGGCTTCTTCACGTCCAGCACTTGCAGAAGCGCAAGCTCAACGCTGACTTCTGGATCGACTCGGTGGTGGCGTCGCTGCAGACCTCGCACTTCTGGCAGCCTGGAAAGTCCGCTGTCAACGGCCACCACCTCGATTCCATGACCGTCGCGACACGGCCCACCGTCCGCGTTCCTCACGCCAGCGAGTACGAGGCCAAGGTGCTGCGTTGCCAGGAGTACATCGCGGCCGGTGAGTCATACGAGCTGTGCCTTACAGACCAGACCACGATCACGCTCCCAGGTCGTCCCTCCACCGAGCCCTACACGAACCGCGTCAACGGCAACCACCACCCCAAGTCGGCGCACGTCACGCCGTGGAAGCTGTACAAGACCTTGCGTACCCGGCAACCCGCCCCGTTCGGGTCGTTCATCCGCCTCGGCGGCGCCACTCTCATCAGCAGCTCGCCGGAGCGGTTCCTCGAATACGGCAGCGACGGGTCCATCTCCATGAGGCCGATGAAGGGCACCGTCCGCAAGTCAAACGAGGTCGCGACGCTCTCTCAGGCAGAAGAGATCTTGCACGTCCCCAAGGAGGAGGCGGAGAACCTCATGATTGTGGACCTCGTCTGCCATGACCTCCACAGCATCTGCGGATCGAACGTGGCCGTGCCGCATCTGATGAAGGTCGAGGAATACGCCACCGTCTTCCAGATGGTTACCGTTGTCTGTGGGCAGCTGCAGCGCCTGGGTGCGATCGAGGAGCAGCATACCGGGCTTGATGTGCTTGCCGCCAGTCTGCCTCCGGGCAGCATGACTGGCGCGCCCAAGAAGCGAAGCTGCGAGCTGCTGCAGGAGATCGAGGAGCACCGGGAGAGGAGCTTGTACTCGGGTGTGGTGGGGTACATGGACGTCACCGGCAAGGGCGACTGGAGCGTGACGATCCGGACCATGTTCAAGTGGGACGACGAGGCTGCGGCGCCTGAGGAGGGCGAGACGGAGCCCAGAGAAATGTGGCATATTGGTGCCGGTGGTGCCGTTACGATTCTCAGCACGGCGGAGGGTGAGAGGGAGGAGATGTTCACCAAGTTGGCGGGGCCCCTTGGGGTGTTTGCCGAAGCCTGAACAGATCAGGCTTGTGTTTACAAGGGCGTTGGTTTTCTGGCGTTGTGACTTTTTGGCGGGGGGTAAAGGCATGGTGTTTGGATGATACCTCAACGTATCTGGGATATTAGACTCTTGTGACCTTCACGGGTATTAGACTCAACTTAGACAACCCGGATGATCCATTCTAGAAAATGGAAAAAAGACAACTTCAGACTTATCAGCATGATCAATCTCGACCCTCGGTACACTTTCCGTCTAATGAATACCATGCCCTCGAATTAGATGGTCGCATAACAAACCAGCGAATTAAGGAACGCCCGCCTGACGGAATGATGCTGGATATACATGTGAGAAGCTCCTCCTCGGTATCAAACACAGTGATCCAATTCCTCCCTGCCGAATGCCCTGAGCGCCTTCGTGATCCCGACGTGTCATACTGTACAGGCCTCGCTCATCAACTGGCCAAAGATATGTGTCCCCTACCACCGCATCTCCTCCATGAAGACCGATTACCTCTCCGGGTTCGCTTCGTTCGGTCGGATGCTTTAGAACTCCTGCTCCTCCTGGAAGAACATGCCGAAGCTGATGATTGTGCCGTAGATAAGGAGACCGCCGATAATGGACATGAACATGGCTTCGATCTGGATGAGGTCGGAGTGGGCCAGGACAATTGGCAGGGCTGCAGAGACGGTCACTGGTCAGCTTTTTGGTCTAGAAGAGGGACCCGACGAGTGGGACGACTAACCAATTCCCATTACAACGAGGAAACCAGTGCAGAAGCGGCCGAGGTCCAGCACGGCGGCGCCCGAGCTCTCGACAAAGTCATCGGGGTTGGCGCATCGCGAGCAGACCCAGTTGGGGATCGGGGCCAGCACGTAAGTGGCGACGACGAGGAGCGGATAGTAGACCTTCCAGAGGGCGCAGGAGAGGATAACCAGGAGGAAACCGACGGCGAGGACGAAGGAGAGGGCGATGATGGTCTTGAGCCCTGCGGTAGGCATCTTGGATGTCGGAGCGTCGAGGAGTGTCAAAGTGGGTTAGGCTTCTTGTTTCGGAGAGGTATCGGGTTGGAATTAGGGCCCCGTCGGGGCTTCGAATCGATTTTCCTGAAAAGAATCGCAAGTCGTGGATGAAGAAAATCGCCAATGTGTTGGTCAAGTCGGGGAGTCGTGTCGGTTGTTTTCGTGCAGGTGGGAAGGTTCGGCTGTCGTTGTCGCGGCTTGGCTGGGAGTAAGGTAGCAGGCTGAAGCTGGGATGCGATGGCGGGTCCTCTGGCGGCCCTGACGCACCTCAGCGTCGTGTGCTGCTGCTGCGGCCGTCGTCAGCGCAGCACGGCGCAACCTTGTTCCAGCCGGTCGCTCAGGTCCATCCAGCTGGAGTCAGGTCCAGTCCAGTTGAAGCTGCCAGTTCCTGCTGAGCTAATCCCCACCCGGCAAGACCCCGGCGTGGAGGTACGTAGCTCAAATGCACGGAGCACACACCACACGCATCCACACCCTTGCTCCAGGCTGAGAGAGTGCTACGAAAGCTCGACCTGCCTTGAGCTGGCCTGGGGGGGTTGATTATCCACAAGCTCTACTCTCCGCCGTAACTGCTCCCGCTGCTGCTCTTCTTGCCCAACAACCACGAAAACCACCCCGCGATTCCCTCTCCCTCTCCCTCCCATTCAACCCACGACACGATATCGACGGCAGCTTAATTGAACTGCTTGACGAAGCTACGACCACTCCCTTACGCCCGCCATGTTCAGAAACAATTACGACAACGACTCGGTGACATTGTAGGTTCCCCGTTTGGCTGCCCTTCAGCCTTCCCTGCCGCCCCTGGCTGGCGGTGGAGGCGAGCACCATCACGACGAACAGCTTCGCTGACGCAACACGACACACAGCTCGCCGCAAGGCCGTATATTCCAGATCGAGTATGCAGCCGAAGCAGTGAAGCAGGGTTCCGTGGTAGTAGGCATTGCCAGCAAAACACATGCCGTCCTGGTAGCAATCAAGGTACGAACGATGTCACCAGCACGCAGTCACTCACGTTATCACAACTCCATCCCTTCCCTCTCACGCCCGACCCAGTCTCCCGAGACCGAAGGCTAACTAGTCACACCCGCACAGCGCAACGCCGAGGAGCTTTCATCCTACCAAAAGAAGATCTTCCCTGTCGACGAGCACGCCGGCATTGCCATCGCAGGCCTGACCTCAGACGCCCGCGTCCTTTCCAACTTCATGAAGCAGCAATGCCTCGGTCACCGCATGACGTACGGCCGTTCGATGCCTCTGCGCACCCTTGTCGATATGATTGGTGAGAAGGCCCAGATCAACACGCAGGTCTACGGCAAGCGCCCCTACGGTGTCGGTCTCCTCGTCGCCGGTGTCGACGAGCGTGGGCCACACCTCTTCGAGTTCCAGCCGTCCGGCATGACGGAGGAGATGCTGGCCTTCGCCATCGGCGCCCGCTCCCAGATGGCCCGTACCTACCTCGAGCGCAACATTGACCAGTTCGAGAACTGCTCCCGCGAGGAGCTTGTGCGCCACGGCCTCAAGGCTCTGAAGGAGTCTCTCGTCCAGGACCGCGAGCTGACGGTCGAGAACACGAGCGTTGGCGTCATCGGTTTCACGGAGAAGGACGGCCTGAAGGTTATCGAGCCGTTCAAGATGTTTGACGGCCAGGACGTCAAGGAGTGGATCGACAGCGTCGCGGCGAGCGAGGGCCAGGGCGGCGGCGAGGAGGGTGCTGAGGGCATGGAAGTTGACGAATAGACGGACGTGAGACACGGAAGGGAAGGCGGTTCTTTGGGATGGTAAAACCCTCGCGTTGCATCGGACTACATCACGCAGGACCGTTGCGTTTTCTCTGCGGAAACGGATTGGACTTGCTGAGACTGGCAGGAGCAAAACGCGAGCCGGCCCATTTAGACTTGTACCAATACACCACGGAAAAGGAGATTTGACAGCCGATGAATGAGCTGCATCCGATGATTCAATGAGATGAAGCCCCGCGCACCCGACACTTGCACTGTTTGTGACCGAGACAGTTTGTATGATTTTGTTTTTTCAGTTTGTTATCTCGGTTGTGTAACTCTTTATGGTGATCTATCAACAAAAACTACAGCCAACAATGCACAAACACCATCCAATGTCTTGGTTCGTGTGTAACCAGGGCCGACCCGTAGAGGCAGGCAAGCCTCTTTTTACGAATGACCCAACCCAGCCGAAGCGCGATGCAGAAGGGGGGAAACACGAAGGGCGCCAGACTCCGGTACGCATCCGTTTTCGCATAGCACATACATACACACACTCTTGCCCTCCACCTCCTTTTGAGTTCCTCAGTTCCTCGATCTGCCTACAGTGATTCTTCATTACACCCTCGCCGCTTTAGAGAGAAACATGAGTTCTACCGGTTTGTGAAGCGGTTGATTCAAGAGTTGGACCAGTCGAGCTTGAAGGTGGCCTCCGAGACCTTGTAATCCCTCAGAGCCTTGATGGCGCCCTCGGGGGTGGTGGAGGTGACGAGGATGTCGGCGTTGGCGGGCTTGATGAAGCCCTCGTCGACGCTCTTGCGTACCCACTCGAGAATGCCGTCGTAGAACCCGTTGATGTTGAGCAGGCAGATGCCCTTGTCGTGGATGCCGAGCTGGTTCCAGGTGGCGGTCTCGAGGACCTCCTCGATGGTGCCGTAACCGCCGGGTAGGGCGATGAAGCCGGAGCCCGGGCCGCCGGCGAAGACCTCCTTGGCCATCATCTGCTTGCGGGTGTGCATGTCCTTGACGACGGTGGTGCGGCCGTAGACGGTCTCGTCGGGGACGTACATGTTGTCCTTGTTGAGGGTGCCGTAGGTCCCGTCGCGCTCGTACTTGACGAGGGCCTCAGGGATGATGCCGTGGACTGCGTCCGGGCCGGCGAGGGCGACGAGCGACTTTGCCACCTCGCCCATCAGGCCGACGGTGCCACCGCCGTAGACTGGGAGTTTTATTAGTTTATTGAAGGATGATTGAGTGCTGCGCGTTTCATGTTGTCTTGGGGTTGGTGCGCCACTCAGGTTGTCATCGTGTGTGATATGACTGAGACCTGTGGCGGCTGAAGATGGCAGTGAGAGAGAGAGAAAGGATGAAAGGTGACTCACCGAGGTCGATGTTGTTCTCGGCCATGATTCTTGCCAACTCACGGGCAGCCTCCATGTGCTGGGGCTTGAAACCGGGAGAGGCGCCGCAGTAGACACAGATCTTTGCCCTGCGTTGCACGCCATTTGTGCCGTTGGTGGTTGTGCCATTGGTGTTGCCGTTGGTTGTGCCGTTGTCGTTGCCACTGGGAGTTCCGTCCCGGGATACCGGGAATGGGGAAGGGCCGCCGGACTGCATCGTTGCGGCTTGTTCTTGATGTGTTGAGAGATGGAATGAAAACAACGTTCAAGACAGGTTGTTGTGATTGAATTTCTTCTTTCCCAGAGTTAGTGGCTTTTGTTTTTTTTGGTTGGAGGGAGAGACCAAGAGACTGAGAGGCTTACGATGAGATGATGCTGGGCGGTCTTAATACGTTGGGAGACAGACAGACACACACCCTAGGGGTCAAGATGACGGTACTTTTGTGGGGACGTTACGGATTGGGAGTTGTAGAGATAGAGAGAAGGAGTCACGCCGGAAACAACTGTGCGGTTCACGGCGTCTTCCGAAATAGTTTCAAAGACTGAGTAACAGGATGTCAGAGGAGGAAAATTCCAACAAAAAGTCAAAAGAGAGAGAAGCCCACGAGAGAAGCCGAGAAAAGGGGAGAGGAGATGGCGGTGAAAAAGAGGGCAGTTATATACGTTTCTCAGGATGGAGTCTCGGGCTCGAAAAGGGAGGCAAGTTTGTCTCGTTTGCAGCAAGTGTTGGTTGGGGCTCAGGAGGGCGATGGGGTTGGCGAATTGGTGTATCAATATCCTGGCAATGACATGTAGGGGAATAAAGGTAGAAAAAGAAAGGAAAGATTGGACGAGGCGAGAGCAAGCACAGATGGGAATGAGACAACGAGATGTCAGTTACCGCTGCGGCGCATGGGCGGCGGGCCGAAGGACTTGTTTGGTGGTTTAGCGCAGGTAGCTGGAACGACACCTGGACACGGCGCGAGATGATGTCGCCTTTTCTTTGGCTCATCTGCTCCTCTGGCTCCTTGTGGTTGCTTCTGGCTTCAGAAGGTTCGCTCGGGGATCCGTGGCCCCTCTTGCCGGTACAGTAGTGGACGATTTAGGTCGATGCGTAGGCCCAGCTGGGAATGGGAAAAGCAAAGCAGAGGGCCCTGTGTCTCGTAGCCCGTAGCCGGGAACGAGGACAGGAGACGGGTGCGGTGTGACGGTGAAGCTACGTCCACCGGTGTTGGGCTTGTTGACATGGACGTGGATTTGGGACGGGGCGAGACAAGGCACACGACTGACTCCTGGTGTTTCTTGTTGAACACGACCTTTCTCCAGCTTCCCTCAGAAGGACTCGGTTTCTTTCCTTCTCGCCTCTCATCGCCTCGACACGAGACGGCTCTTGGGGGTTCCCATTTCTCCGTCTGCAACAGCCAAGCGTGTCTGGCTTGTCAACTTGTTACGCAGCGACTGGCCCGCACAAGTGTTCAGGTGACCTGCCGGCGAGGTCCGAGTGCCACGCGGTGCGCAGTTCTGGCCTCCCGTTGATGACTCTACTGGGCCGTCCCGCTAGGATGACCGTAGTGGCGGGCATCAGAGGATGCCTAAAGTCGGGGAAGAGGGCAGTGGCGGCAGCGAGCCAAGGGATGCTCAAAGCAACCGTTTGAATCCTAGGTAGATAGCAGCGGCACTCGCAAACGAGTCCATGTTGTCAGCGATGAAGAATACTTGACGCAACGCAGGCCAATTGGCAGATGCCACTTCTTGACAGGCATGTACACGTGTAACGACACGGTGCCTCACGTGTGCCCAGCGCCTTTGCCAAATGGATGGCAGAAGCGTGAAGAGTGTCTCTTTGGGTCCTGATCTGAGTCGGTGTCAGACGTTGGTTAACGGGGTCCAGGATGTCAAGGATGTCATAGATTGTGGCACGCTGGAAGAGACAGAAGTGTGCCTATTCTTTGATGCAAAAGCAACATCAGTTGCTGGCGGCTGCTCCAGCCGGAGGTGCAATTTAGCATCTACTGGCCGGTGCTACGGGCTCTCCCCGCCCTTGGGGGAACTGCACTGCACTGCAACCTTACAGGCCCCTGTTCTCCTGGTGCTCCGGGCGACCCTCGCTGTTTGCCGCGGAGATCTCAGGGCCCCCAATCTGCTATCAAGTGGTGGGCCATCAACTATTGCAGAGTACCTAAGCCAACGGTATGTATCTTGAATCAAGTACCAATTGACCAACAACCTTCTTGGAAAAGGGAGATTGAATGAAGAAAAAGGTGCCCTACAAACTGAGAAATGCCGGATGAGTTGTTACTCTTGCAAGAACATGTAATGTTTAGAGACGCTGCATCTTTAAGAACCCCGCCCAGCCCGGGTTTATTTGGGTCGTGGCGTCGCCTCGGCCGTTGATTCGCCCGAACAGCACGCAATCTGTCAAACCCAGGGGTCTCCGTTAAGTTTGCCTTCCTTTTCGGACCCTTCCAGACTTCACCTCTCCAACCGACATCGCTCGCCAACTCCCACGGTTCCCGCGCCGGAGAAGACACGGTATCTTTCGCGACTCTGCTCGACAAGGTGCCAACTCGCGACAAGCTGTCTGTGCCCGAGCAAACAGCCTGCCTCTTCCGCCAGACGCACGCCGAGGCCATTGTGCAACCTGCCGCATTGTTGCCCGCATCGTCGTCTGCAAAGAGCACGCGATCTGTCATCCTTCGGCTTTGACTTGCTCCCCTTGTCAGCGCAGGTGTTTGACAAACAGCATGTCTCAGCCCAACGCGCCGGCTCGGCCGGCTGCTCCGCAGGAGGAAGGCGTGAGTTTTCGGCCCTGAGCCTCGGTTCTAGATGTCGCGACAAAATACTGACCTAATTGTCTCGGCAGGGTATGAGCATGACGCAGAAGTTGCTGCTCGGCGCCAGTGTGTACTTCGGCATGAACATACTCATGAACAACGTGTTCCAGAAGAACCAGTCGGGCACTCAGGTCAAGGACGCCGACGGTAACGTCGTCAGCGTTCCCGCCAACACCGAAGACATCCCCCCGTACCTCTTTCGCCCCAAGGAGTTGAACGAGGGTGCCACCTTTAGCCAGATCCCCCACAAGCTGGCCCCGATCTGGCCCATGGATAGCTACGTCGACATTATCGTCACTGTTTCCGACAACGTCGTTCCCACCCCGCTGTCGCAGACACCTCAGGAGAAGCTGGTAATGAAGGAGGAGAAGTTCAAGCTTGGAAACTACAGCGAGAAGCGCTCCGTGGATACCACTATCAAGATCCCCCCTTCTGTTCAGAACAACGGTACTCTGTGGGGCCACTTCTACGTGTCGCTCCCCGGAGCACAGCCCGACCCTCATGTTGATACCTTCGATCCCGCTTCGGCCTACTACTTTGCGTTCCCTCTCACCCAGTACATCCCCAAGAAGAAGGAGTTCAAGACGAGATCGCTTTTGGACAAGGCCGAGGAGGAACCTGAGCCGGTTGTCGAGGAGCAAGACACTGGTCCCATTATCGCCAGCTACTACCACCCCAATGCCAGTCTGTCCATGATTCCGAACACCGGGGTTCTGGAGTACCGTCAAACCCACCCCGCTATCCGCCAGTTCCTCCAACTCGAGCCGACGGGCGCGAGAGATGGTTCTGGCAAGCACTCCTGGTACTGTAAGTAGAAACCCAGACATGTCTCCAGATGATCATGACTAACCCGTGCCAGACCCCATCCTGTTCGTCAACACCTTCTGGCAGCTCAAGAGCCAGATGATGCTGCTGAACGATACCGTCACCGAGGTTCCTCTTCATATTGACTTGAACAACCTGCGTTCATGGCAGTTCAACACCCTTGCTGCTATCGAGGCGAGTGCAAAGGAGTCTGCTCGTCAGGCTGCCTACGGCAACTCTCTGCCTGGCGGCGGTGACGGCTCTGAGATCGAGATGGTCAAGGAGATCTTCATTGACACCAACCCCATCCTCCTCGGCATTACAGTCGTTGTCAGCATTGCGCACATCATCTTGGAGACGCTCGCCTTCGGATCCGACATCGCTCACTACCGCAAGAAGAAGGACAACGTTGGTATCTCCGTCCGCTCCATTCTGGCCAACGTTTTTATGCAGGCCGTTATCTTGCTCTACCTCATCGACAACTCGACGAACACTAGCTGGATGATTCTTGGTTCTCAGGCCGTTGGAATCGTCATTGAGCTCTGGAAGATCACGACGGTCGTCAATGTGGCCATCAAACCTGCTCCGCCCGGGTCATGGCTGCCATTCTCCGTTGTCTTCGAGGACAAGCACAAGCTTAGCGAGACCGAGGAGAAGACCAAGGAATACGACGAGATCGCCTTCAAGTACATGTACATCGCAGGAGTTCCTATCCTTCTCGGATACGCCGGTTACTCTTTGGTGTATGAGACGCACAAGTCGTGGTACTCGTACGTCCTCGCGGTCCTCGTCTCGTCTGTCTACGGCGCCGGCTTTCTCATGATGGTTCCCTCTCTGTACATCAACTACAGACTCAAGAGCGTTGCACACATGCCGGCCAAGGCGATGATGTACAAGTTCCTCAACACCTTCATCGACGACCTATTCGCGTTCACCATCAAGATGCCTTTCCTGCACCGTCTGTCGACTTTCCGTGACGACATCATCTTCTTTATCTACCTTTACCAGCGCTATGCGTACAAGACCGATTACACCCGTGTCAACGAGTTTGGCCAGGGCGGTGAGGACGAGGAGGAGACGGACAGGGAGAAGGCCAAGGCCAAGGAGTTGCTGGAGAGCGACCCCACGGTGGAGAAGGTGAAGGAGATTGCTGGCAAGGCCACTGGCGCCGACACTGGCAAGGCGAAGAAGAGAAAGTAGAGGTGAGGTGGCGTGTCGCACAGCAGTGGATGCGTGCAGCAAACTTGGATGTAGATAAAAGTCATGCGAAGCAGACAGATACCAAGTAGATACGGAACCAGGGGCTTATCTTGCTGCATGACTGGCCGAAGCGAATGTGTCTCCTTGTCGCATGTAATACCTAATCGAGGCCAATGCTGCTTCCCGTCAACGAAGCCATCGCTGTGTCACTCATCAATGGCATCTTATCTGGCCAGCATCCCAACTCACAAGTATACAATGTACAATGCACGCTTGGACATGAGAAGCGAGGCTAAGAGAGATCGGTCGGAGGAAAAGCAACGAAAAGCTCGCTAGACGGAGTTCGTATTCGAGCGTAAAACCAGACGACGGAGCCATGGGCATAAACACTAAGCATCTCTAAAAGTACCTACCTAGGTAAGGTAAAGAGCGAGCTACAGCAGACGGGACCAGGCCGGGCCACACTTGGGCTAGGTAGGTACTCAGCGATTGCAAAAGGGTAGCAGCTCGGTGGCGGCTGAAATTCGCAGCAGGGGCCCCCGTAAAAACCGCCAATGGCGGGGGCTCGCAGTCGTCAGAGCCCCCGTGCCTGGTAGGGCAGAGACAAGCATCCGAACACCCGTATGTCACCGCACCTATCAGAGGGTCTCATCCCTTCTAATGACGCCAGGTCCCCTCCAACGGCGTTTGGGAGCATGGATCCAGCTCCACGTTTTTGCTGTTTCTCTAGCTACCCGGGCATGTTTGGGGGTTTGGGGGGCCTTGGGCTTTTGGATAGTGGAGTGTTTACGGGAAGGACATACCGATTTAGACCAGACAATTTCTGGGCAAAGAGGTTTTGTTAGGCTTCGTTCGGTTGATCGGATCGGGTACACGCAATGCTGTGTTTGATTGGGATGGAGAAAGGAGAGAAAGCCTAGAACATTCGGCCCGTGATGCTGTAAATAGCATAAGGTACGGTGCTCCTTACTTCACAGGTTGAGTTGAGAGCAGGCAGTCAGAGGTTGGTAATGGTGATGACCCTGGACGGCAGGAAGGAAGCAGAGAAATTACGACGAAAGAATACGGGGGAATCATTCCAAGATGGCCAGGAAGGGCCGCAAAGACGACAGAGCCCCTCCAATGGCATCAACACGGTAGTTGCCCAAAGCAGTCATGGCTGGCCTGGTCCTCCACTAAAAACTAAAAAGCGACACCCCGAAAACCTAAAGTTCCCGTCGGCGTCGACTCGTTCGCCTTTATTTTGGATTGGATTTTGATTGCATCCTTTCCGTCCTAGCAAGGTCGCTGCGGCTCCTCTCTTGTCTTGTCTTGACCAAACACGCTCGCTGGATCGGACCAAAACAATTCGTCGCACTTGGCTTGCTGACAATCTTCCTCAAACTCCCTTGTCTCTCCGTCTGCTGGTTTCTTTCCTTTTTAACCTATCGACGGTCCCTCCGCTCCCACATTCCATCACCTCCGACCACGATTTCCCACCGTCCGTTTTCCGGCCGTCGCGTGAGCTTCTTTTCTTCGACTCAGGAACCCCCCGGCTCCGTTCTCACATGCCCGGGTTCCCCCGCTTGTCATCATTTCGTCCCATGGATCTTCAGTCATGACATATAGATGGCCGCATTGGTCCCCCAGCAACAGAGAGTACAGCAGCCAACAACGAGGCCTTTGAGCCACACCCACCCACCGACCCGCATACATACGGCGTACAACGCGCAGCAAACCGGTTCAAAAGCCCCCCAAGCCGGCATAGGCTTCAGCATCCCGCCAAGCGAAGCTCCGGCCTCTCGGTTCGCCAGGTCCCTAGGACTTCCCAGGACTTCCAGGTCCACGCTGCCTCGTACGCAGTGGAGTTCCACGGGTCTCTCATCATCCCAAATTGGAGCGTCCCCGGCACCCCGAAAGCTCCACGGGAGGGAGCCAAGACCTCACTTTAAGGGAAACGTAAGCTACAAAACCTGTTCGGACGGTGTGGCCGTGCCGCCCGCGCCCGCCGTTCGCCGCCGTTCACTCCCCCTTCGGGATTCCTGCCCCCAAAAAGAAGGGGCGCCAGACGGAATTTATTATTGGGGGCTTCGCACGCGAGGAGCTGCTGCAGACAGCTGCGCACGCAGTTAACCCCCCTCCCTTCGATTTGACGTGTGCTGCTGCTGCTGCCCCCGCCGCGCCCTCTCGCCTTGAACGCACCTCCTCGAAGCTCGAAAGGCCGCGAGAGCAACGGAAGGGACACCGAATCATGAGCAGCTCTACCGTCGGGTCCCTTCTGGCTGCCATCGCGACTCTGATCAGTGATGGCCTACGTATCTTGAAATTCGCCGATAAGCACCACTGGGGACCTGACGAACACGAGCAGTTGCGCCTGCTTGAGGATACACTCGATGACGCCAAAAAGGACTTCCAGGAACTGTCGGTCCTTGTCAACGGCCAACGCTATTACATGAACGATCGCAGACGTGAGTTGACCGACCCCGAACTTGCACTTTTGCCCTGCCTTGTGGCGCCCCGAGCCGCATTTCCTGCACGATTCTACGGGACCCCGCGATTAAGTGGCTGCCTCTCTCGGCTCCCCCATAGAGACTCCCCGCCGCAGTCTGTTCTGTTATTGCTGATGCTGCTGCTGCTGCCGCTGCTGTTACCAGACCTTCTACTGACGCGATCTTTCTAGCACAATCGATCAACGAGTTGAAGAGGCTACAAGGGAAATTCGAGACGCATATCGAAAACTTCAAGGACTGGGCAAAGGTTGGCGGACCAATCAGCCCGATATGGGCACGAGAAACGACTGAATTGCGCCGGGAGCTGCACCGCGCGCAATGCCGGGCAGCAAGGAGGATATTCAATTCGGAGCAGGAGTCTTCGTCAAGGTGTCTCGGCGCATTCCTCGTCTACAGAAAACAGCGGGAATGGGCAACCCGAACCATCGTGACAGAAGAGGGGTTCCACCGGCGGCATGTGGAAGAGGTCAGGGCGTGCAACAACATTGGCAAGTTTGAGCGCTTCGGAGACAGAGACATTGCCTTTGTTTGCGACTTCTGCGACGGCCACCTTGTGTGGGAGGACCTAGAGACCATGCCGGCAATGCGCGCAGCGACAGACGCCACGATCAATGCCGTAAGACCAGGCTCGCCCACACAGCTGCCGCACTGGCAGGCGACCGCCTACAGCGCCGCGAATCGAGAGCAAAAGACGGTTGTGCATGCGCCCTTGGCCATCGCGAACCACATCGCGCCGTACCAAGGGGATTGGGTAGCTCGTCTGGAATGCCCATTCTGCGACGAGGCTCCGTACATTGAACCTGGCGAAGATGGCGACGACGAGATGAGAAACGCCCAAGACGAGTCTGGCTTCGAAGACCTCCAAGCGTTCCAAGAACACCTGGAGTGGCAGCACACGGCGACATCAATACCCGCCGTGCCACTGCCCAAAGCGGCCAAGGACTGCGTGGTGATGTGACAGCATTTTTCAATAACGATATGGCGGCGCATTGGTTGATTCCTGTACATATACGTGTGTGGTCTTCATGCCGGCGAGGAGTTGGGGGATTTACGAAGTGGGCGGGCTTTTCCACCGCATCCCACATGACGCATGAGATTATTCTGGTTTCCTTGATACCACAGTTCCCCTAGGGCAGATCTTCCACGACATTCATCTTGATACCACAGAGTCTGAAAAACAGACCAAAGAGACGACAGAGATACCGATCTGGTAGTGTTTGGGTCATATTCCACATTAAGACTGAAAATACCACTATTCGGCAGCAGACCTTCCCTTGATTTTTGTTTTGGGGTCCCACACCTCCGTCGTCCGAGAAGCCCGCGCGCCGTGACTTGATTGATATACACCCCTCCCTCCCCCCCTGGAAATACCAACGGAAGAATTCCACCCCCTGACCACAAACGCTGTTTTTAAAAGAAACGCCACCACAGAAACACAATGATGATGAGGCCCAGCGCGCCAAAGGGGCCGTACTGCTTGAGCATGAGCTCCCAGTTGATCCTGACGGCGGCGCGGCGGTACTTTTTGCTGTCGTCGCGCAGGCGGGAGCTCAGCTCGCCCATGCGCTCGAGAGAGTCGCCGCGGTAGAGGAGGTCCTCGATGTTCTTGGTCATGACCTTTGTGACGTCGCGCAGCTCGTCGTTGAGCTTGTCGAGGTTCTGAGAGGCGCGGGCGTCGGAGTAGGTGGACTTTGTGCGGGAGATGAAGGTGTCGAACTCCATGAAGGCGTAGGGGCGCAGGGCGGGCGAGTGCAGCTGGGAGATCGGGTATGTGGTGGTGAACTCGCGGGCGAGGTCGGAGAGGTAGGTGAAGGCGAGCTTGCGCGGGTAGGAGCGGTCTGTTATGCAGAGGAACGTGATGTCGTTGTCGATTAGGTAGCTGAAAGGGGGTTTGGTGTGTTAGTGGGGGTTGGCTTCTGTGAGAGAATAGGGGAGAATGAGGACGTACTGGAGGTTGTAGGAGCCGCTTTCGATGCTGGCTTGTTGTTCCGAGTTGCGGGAGAGCTTGCGGAGGATCTGCTTGATTTGGGACTTGACTTCTGAGAGGGCGGCTTCTTGCTGCTCGTCGTCGACGGATGCGCAGAGCATCAGGCCTATCGCGAGTTGTGTCAGATTGCTCCTCTGGAGGGGTCCCTCGGGGGGTGGGTGACATACCGTCTAGCCTCGCTATTTGCGTTGAGCGGATCATTTTGGGAGTGTGTGAAGGTTGTTTGTGGTCGCGGATGAGCTGGAAAGAGGGGTGCGTTGGAGGTTTAGGCTCGAAGTGTCGAGACTCTGGCTTCGATCGTCGGGTGGAAGCTATCGCCGGTCGCTGCAGGTAGCTACGAATGGATAGGTAGATATCGACGTGTCCTCAAGACGCGGCCCAAGGTCTCGTGGCCAATCTCCGAATGTTCGATGTGTGTTGCGCACGAGCGGAAGTTTGTTGGAGATTCCGACGAACGGTGATGGTGGTATCGCCTAGAGTGCTGTGTGTCCTTTCTTCGTCAGGGGGTTTTCCTTCAGAAGGGCTCCTGCAAAGTACACCAGAATCATGGATTCGCCAATTTACCAAACGCTGGCTGGCCGGCGGTAGCTCTCCACGTTCCTGGAATTGAGATGACACCATGGTAGACAGGGCTGGCCAATGGGAGTGTGTTCGCAGGGGTATACCCTTGTATACTAGTGTGGCTTGCTGTGGCTGAACGTGCAGCCTTGTTTAGTCGAGACTTGTGTTCTGGAGTGAGTGAGTTGTGAGACTTCAACCACTCCCATTTTCAGAAGGAGATGCGGCGGGGAAGACGTCACTTCTCAAGTCTGTATCACCACTCTTTACACAGGGGTTTTTTCTTGAGTGTTTTTGAACAAGTTCATTGTCGGAGTTCCCAACTTAGGCAAACGAATGTCTTTTTTGTAAGTTTCAGTGCTCTCATTCTCAACTCATCAATCTGAGGACCTTTGTGAGAATTGGCTGGAAGGAAGCAGCTACCTCCATCACCCGTTGCTGCCAATACCGGCATGTTCACAAAAAAATCCTAATAAAATAATGCTATTCTCTAAGGACTATTCGTAGACTAATAAACGCCCAGATCAAACGCGTTGCATGCTGAACGAGTATTCGTCGCCCGCCGACGTTATTGCCCAAAATGGCAGCCACGCCTCCCTCATCCGTAGACCTAGAAATGGTCGACGCCCTCTCGCCGGCGTCCACCCTCTCCCCACCACCAGACTCAGGCTCCGAGTACGAAGACGTCAAAACGAAAAAAGACTCTCCCAACCCGCAGATCACCTCCCTTGAAAAAATCAATCTCGAATCGCCCCTCACCGGTACCGACCTAGCAAACATGGCGAGAAGATCGGCGCGCAACACGAATAAACCGAGACCCGTCGTGGTCTCCCCCGCGAGGCCGGCGAAGAGGAAGATCGTCACAAAAGTGTCCGCGGCGAAGAAGGCGCCTAAGTGGACTGCAGAGAAGCTCCTGACGGATACTAAGTCACCCCTCGCCAGCGCGGATCTCAGGGTATGGCACCCTCCCTTCCAAATTCACTCTCCTCGGCCATCTTTTGGATCTGTAAGCGCTGACATCGCGAGAAACATAGGCCATCCTCTGCCAGCCAGCAGCATGGGACATCCTCACCCCCGCCGAGCGCGCCGAGATCATCGCCCTGTTCCCTGCCGGCACGCGCATCCTGGACGAGGGCACCGAGAACGCGCGCCCCGACCTGGACGCCCTGCGCAACGACAACAACTTCCGGCACGACTGCGCGACGTACACGGACAACATCGCGCAGGGGAAGCACGACCCCGAGTGGCTGGAGCAGGCCTGGGCTGCGCGCGAGCGCCGTAGGATGGGCGATTTCGACGACTACCTCGTGCAGAAGTTCGAGGACGAGTGGAGCTGCGAGTTGCCTGAGGATTTCAAGCCGAGGAGGGATGCGCCTGCGTCGGCTGAGGGTGTGGAAGAGGGCGTGGAAGCTGCGGGTGCCGTAGGGGAAATGGAGGTTCAACCCTTACCTGCGGAGGCTGGCGAAGAGACCGAGGCCGCTAAGCAGGAGTCGATTAAAGAGGATGCCAAGGACGATCTGATCAAGGAGACGACGGAGACGGCTAAGGACGATGCTGAGGGCGATCTGAACCCCAAACCGGACGCGGGCGAAGAAGCATCTGGGAACGAGCCTGTTGTCAAGCTTGGATCACCCGTCCCCGACGATGATGAGGTCGGTGGCACCAAGACTACGACGACAGAAACGACTGCAGCAGTGGCTAATGGTAAACCTACGGGGCCATCCATCTAGGAGAGGGGAGCTGGGTCGAAGGGACGGGCAGGTCGCCTGAGGAGACAAGACGATGCAGTCTCATGACATATCACGACTTTATGACTTATGGCCTTATGGGATTCAGCGTTTCATGGCGTATAAGGGATTGGTAGATGCAAAAATTGAAATGGCAGGCATAGGCCTCAATAATTCAGTGGATTGTCATTTGGTGGCCTAGTTGCGTTGACTGATATTAGAGGAATGCGCTGCTACATCCCTTTCCCAACACAAAGTCACAAGACACGGACATCAGTTTCATGGATTCAAAAAAAAAAAACAATAATCATAATCAATGAGGATAATTCAAGGTTCCGCGTAAGCATCGATCTTCGGAGTGATTCCCACCACGGCACAGTGACATCTCGGTCGAAGCCCCACATCGCCGAAGGAAACCCCAAATTCAGTGGGCGAAAAGCCCGAACCACAGCGGAATGTTAAACATTCTAATTTCAACCTCAATATCACCAGTGCTCAGGGTTCTCAGTCGAACCAGACCCGACCAATTCTTCCGCTAAAATAATTGCATCATCGCAGGAGAAGATCTGAGCATCAGTGGTCCAACTCCAAATAGCGCCCGGAATCATTCGCGGAGAGGCTCGCCAGCCTTTTGTGTTCATACCCAGTCATCATGGCACCCTCGGCAGAGAATCACAGTCGCTCGCATAGCCTCTTGTTGTTTCAGAAGCTTCTCAACTTGAGGGACAGCGCAAGTCCTCTGACGTTGGTCCTCGACAGTCTTGAGCAAGGTGCTGCGCCAGTCGTGCGAGAGTTCATCTCTAGAGCCAAGGTGCGTAGCTAGTAATCATAATCCTAATTTTACCTCAAATGGCAGCGACTGCTCTCTGAGTCCAGTACATACGGCTGTGTCATTCGTTTCAGCGATTTGTTAACCTCCAGGCAGATCGCAAAGGCAAAGGTCATACTGCTCTCCTTCGCAACCCTCAAGCGCCCACGAGATGTCGACGTCGTCATCAAGGCCCGTGGCAAGAACCTGAAATCTCTGAGGGCAGAGATCTTGTCACATTGTCCCAAGCCAGACCCTTCCGCAGCCAAAGGTGCACCTCCATCACAAAGTATGTGACTGTTCGCAGACTTCTAGAAACTGTGACTCACTTTCTACAGAAACCATCATACTTGTCGACTCAGTCAACGACCTCGCCACGGCAGCGCCCCAGATGGTCCCGACCTTCCTGTCCAGCATTATTATGCCCTCTGTGTCATTGGTAGCAGTCTATCACACCGACGTTCCTCTCGTTCTCCCACGTACCGTGAGCGAGTATGAGCCCCACCCACTGACGGTGCTCTCTCACCTTGCCACATCGATCCTTCGTCTGTCCAGCTTAAGGCAGGAGATTGAGCGCCAGAAGGCGAGGAACAGGAGCATTCAGGAGCCGGAGTGGGGTCTTCGTGAAGAGAGGGAGGGTGTGTTGATTGGCCTCAAGGGCGAGACCAAGTCCGAGGACTACCGCGGTGTCGTGGTGGAGATGGAGGTTCGAAGACGGAGTGGACGTGCCATGACTGAGAAGTTTGTCCTGCTGCCTTTGGCAGGTACTACTTCTTCTGCTGCCTCTGGGAAGGGCAGCAAGACGTTTCTCCTTTTGGAGCACCCTGTGTTTGCCACACCCGACAGTGCAGGCGCGAACGGCCGTGCTGAAGAAGAGGAGGAGCCGGAGAGCACCTTCAACCTGGGTCTAACGGAGAAGCAAAGGCGGGATAGAGAGGGTATTGTGCTGCCTTACTTTGACGCGCAGACGGATATCGGAGCCGGCGAGGGAGGAAGAATTTTATACGAGATGGGCAGGGAGGATGACTTTGACGACGAGGAAGACGAAATCTAGACAGCGTCACCCGTGGTAGTCAATAGACGAGTGCATTATGAAATTCACGATCGAGACACTTTGCCGCATCCAATACTGAAGATGCCTTCCAGGAGTGGCAGCAGCAGCACCTACCTCAACAAGGTGGAGGGCCACTGCCTTTCACGTCTTGTCTCTTACCTTCCCGCTTGCTTTGGCCTCAGCATCAGGTAGCATCCTTCCTGAGGATACCGGCACCTTCCTGCCTCAAGCCTGAGTCACCACCCCACTGAGGCCAAAATTCAACCAGGCACGTACCGCGGCTGCCTGCAATTTACCGTCTCGACCTTCGCTTCTTGCCTCCAGAATTAAATCGCAGTCCCTCAGTCGCTTCGGTACATATCATTACTGATCGGGGCAGCGCACAGGCCACCACCCAGGTCTATATAATTCTGCCCATCCTCCGCAGCTTTGAAGTATTTCCTCTTTTCTCTTTACCTTCTCTTTGCCTCTTGGCTTAGATCAAGTGTAGTATCTGTTCTTTTCAGTTTAATCTCTGAAAGATGTCCATTGGACATCACATTGATTATTCTTATTTTTGATCTTCAGGTGGGATGGTCCCTGTAGCTTGCTACATACCTCCTTCCATCGTGTCCCTGGTATTACACTGTCTCCAGGCGACGCAAAACCCTTTTCTGGTTTTCATTACTGTCTCTGGCTTGTCCAGGGTTGTGAAGAAGACTGTCGCGTCCATGTGTTGTTCAGACTCAGCGTTTTGGAGTGGAAGGTTGGCTGAGAAGTAGAAGGCAAAAGTGTAGGTAGGAAATTGAGGCTCAAATTCTTTTTTTCGTGATGTTTGGATCGACGTTGTCTTGGTGTTGAAGTGCCGACGGAAACCGCTAGAGCTTACCAGCGGCTTCAGTGGAGCAAATGGAACGTAAGGTGCAGTAGAACGTGCCTGCCGGAGCTCTTGCCAGGCTACCCCAGCGCTAAATGGTAGAGGCTGGGAGCTAAATGAACCGCACATGCCAGCCGTCCGACGACCCCAAATTTTCTTCAGCCACAACGTGACGTCGTTCAACACCTACCACAATCC